TTTACTTACGAACATTCGACTTACGAACTTTCAGAGGTACGAATGAACCTGTCCGTATGTCCAGCTGCCTGTTCGGACCGAGAGTCTCATGTTCATGATGCCCCGCAAGATGGTGGTGGCATCTACATCTGCAGAACGTGAAGAACCAGTGGCATCTACATCTGCAGAACACGAAGAACCAGTGGCATCGACATCTACAGAAGATGAAGAACCAGTGGCATCTACATCTGTAGAACTTGAAGAACCAGTGGCATCTACATCTGTAGAACTTGAAGAACCAGTGGCATCTACATCTGCAGAACGTGAAGAACCAGTGGCATCTACATCTGTAGAACTTGAAGAACCAGTGGCATCTACATCTACAGAACGTGAAGAACCAGTGGCATCTACATCTGCAGAATGTGAAGAACCAGTGGCATCTACATCTGCAGAACGTGAAGAACCAGTGGCATCTACATCTGCAGAACATGAATAATCAGTGGCATCTACATCTGCAGAACATGAAGAATCAGTGGCATCTACATCTGCAGAACGTGAAGAACCAGTGGCATCTACATCTGCAGAACGTGAAGAACCAGTGGCATCGACATCTACAGAAGATGAAGAACCAGTGGCATCTACATCTGCAGAACGTGAAGAACCAGTGGCATCTACATCTGCAGAACGTGAAGAACCAGCAGCATCTACATCTGCAGAACGTGAAGAACCAGTGGCATATACATCTGCAGAACGTGAAGAATCAGTGGTATCTACATCTGCAGACCATAAAGAACCAGTGGCATCTACATCTGCAGAACATGAAAAAACAGTGGCATCTATATCTGCAGAACATGAAGAATCAGTGGCATCTACATATGCAGAACGTGAAGAACCAGTGGCATCTACATCTGCAGAACGTGAAGAATCAGTGGCATCTACATCTGCAGAACATGAAAAACCAGTGGCATCTACATCTGCAGGAGATTATGCAACTTTTAAAGCCATCCCCCGTGTTTAGTGTACACGCCGTACATATTTGAAATCGACGGGAGTAAAGTTGAGACTTCCGAACAAATCAACTCATGAACAGACCTCTGGAACCTAACTCGTTCGTAAGTAGAGGAGTCCCTGTACGTGTTTGGGTGGTTTGTTCACCTTTCTTGTACTTTTCACGACTATCACGTTTTGGTTCTGTTTGTTATTGTAACGTTCCTACCCCGTGACGTCTACTGGACATTTGAATCGATTGGCGGTGACCCGGGTCACCGTCGTGACCCGGGGGTGCCAAAACCTCCATAACTCCGAAACCAGAAGGCCTATGAAGACGGGAGATGTCACCGAGCCTGATACGCACGCCAAATATGGAAATAAAAAACACACGCAAAACACCTATAAAAAAGGGGGGGGGGGGCTGCTGGGGATTTGTGCGTGGCAACGGCTGTTTATTGCTTGTTGTGAAAGTACATCAGGATGCCGGTCTGGTCATTCCCCAGCACGTTCTGCTTCTTACGGGGGCGGCCACCCCCTTTGTCTTTGGGAGCGAGACCACTTGGAGGCAATGGCGCACCGGGCGCTCTACTTGGTACGGCCGGCGGTCACGGTCGTGCTGGCGGGATCGACATCGTCGTCCTCATCATCGCTCCCAGCGTCACACTCCGGCAGGACAGGGTAGCACCAGCGATGCTCCCAGAAAAAAAACCTTAAACTATGCCTGGGCCACTAATATTTTGCGGTGACCCGGGCTACCGCCAATCGATTCATTTGTGAAATATAGTGTCGGAGCTAATCGGATTCCTCCTGCAGTGCAAATAAATATTCTAATTCTGAGATAATTAAACCATGAACAGAGAATGGCAGAATATACTCGGACGGCTCTAAGAACAATGTGCATTGCTCCACTTGTTTTTATTGTGGATGTCGCCTGGTCTCAGTGCTTGCACACAGAAATCAATTTGTAGCTGCTCACCCCGAGCTATGAATGCCCCAATAGTGGAATTGTCTTTTGTGCTGTTCACTATTTGGCGCTGTTCTCTGGTCTGGCACTGGTGGTGAGACTAGGCCATGAAGAAGGCTGTCTCTGGTGTAGGCCAATCAGTTCCAAAGACAATGCATAGATTATATTATCAGAGTCATGTTTGTTTATATGTTCACCACAAGTACAATAATAATCTTCTTTGGTTCTTTCGGTAAATTCACATAGAATGAGAATAAAATAATAAAATAACACAATAAAATTCTCACGACGTTTCGGCCACAACGCAAGCAGCCGTCTTCAGGTGAAAGGTACAGAACTGTCGGGACGACAGAGCTTCCCGACAGTTCTGTACCTTTCACCTGAAGACGGCCGCTTGCGTTGTGGCCGAAACGTCGTGAGAATTTTATTGTGTTATTTTATTATTTTATTCTCATTCTACGTGACTTTACCGAAAGAACCAAAGAAGATGAATCCTTGCAGTCACGAAAGCTTCAAATCGAAAAATACAATAATAATAGGGTTTTCCCCCTTTTTTTGGCAACAAAACTGAAACCTTTTAACGAGGAATCATGTGTGCATTAACCACAATACTTGTGGTCACAATGCAAACAATGACTTCACACCCCCTGCCCCCCCCCCCCTCTGCTGCACCCCACCCTCCTGGCAGACTCTCTCAGGCACGGCGGCATTCTGGGAGTTTCGCAATTGCCGCGCGTAGAATTGCAGCAGCCTTCCGCCAGGCGAAGGCAAGCACGGTTCTCACCGTCCAGGGTGATACCCGAACTCGATTGAGAAATCGACGCTTCGGTGGTCACCTCCCTGATCACAGGCCCCCAGCCGGTGGCGGAAATTCCACATTCTTGTGGCGGAGGCGAGGCTCCCCCCGAAGGACTAATAGCCGTTACATTGCCCCACAAAGTGATGCCAAATATTATCGACCCCCCCACACACCCCCAGGAGTGATGGGGCTGAGTCAAGCCCCCGCACCCTCCCCGCCCACCCAACCGGGATGTGAAATCGCGGTCCCTTCGATAGCGAGACGCTCGCTCTGCCTCCGAGCCTCCGCGGTTCCACGCGAGCGCAGCCGGTGGCTCCCGTCCACGAGCATCGTCAGCCACCCCCTTCGCGTGCCACGGTGCCGGCCTTCATAGGCGCCGCTGCTACTCGCTCGCAGCGCTTGCCCCAACGGTCGGTTCAGGCCATCGCGGGCGATGGGGGGATCTTTGTCTTTGCGGGCCTTCAAGGGAATTTGGGCGACGGCCCTCCTTTGCGCCGCACGTTGCCAGCTGGCGGACGGACGTTGCACGTTGCGGCTCAGTGCAAGAGGCCTCAAAGCGGCGGTGGCAGCGTCGCCGGAGTGAATAAAATCCGACGAGCGCCCGACGGCCCCCCTCTCCGTTCACCGTTCTGCCGTGAAATGGCGGCCGATTTTCAGCGCTCGTTTTTTTTCTCCCCTCCGCTCTCTTTCTCTCTCCTCGCGCCGCCGCCACCGCCGCCGCCCTCCTCGTTGCCCCCGTCGGCTCGGGAGGCACGGGGGGGGGGGGTGGACTGCTGTGCCGAGGCCGCTGGATTGAGGGCGGCACAATCTGAAAATCCACACGGCCACTGTTAGGTCACGGCGAGCGGGATTATCGTCTAAGGGCAACAATGAAGAAAACAAACGCTTGCTTAGTTTTGTACGCGGTGCCTCTCACGGACAAAAATCACGATGCGTTTTTTTTTATCCTTTCTTTGGGTTTAGGTCGTGAAAGCCGCTTTTGTGCCCTCCGCCACTCGACAAGAGCTCAACAAATCGAGGCGTCACATGGGGGAGGGGTTGGATAGAGGTGGGTGGGGGGGCGAACGTGCCGATTGCTTCCGGTTTGCCAGCGTCAGCCGGCAACACACCTTGAAGAGCAAAGCGAGGATTTGGACAATTTACTTTTTGACGCTGACGATGTTCAAAACACCACGCACGCACGCTCGTACATCTCTCTCTCTCTTCCACGGCGCCCCCCCCCCCACTCATTTGAGAGTCAAAATTTCAGCATGGACTCGAGGAATCCCGGATGAGCTACGAAACGGGGTATCCGCTGCCTTCCTGCTCCTCGATTCTCCTCTCCACTCATTGCGGTCCTGGGCTCATCGCCTCCACGTCCACCAGACGGAGTCTCTTCGCGTCCTGGTCTGCCACTCTGATCCGTCCCTTTCCTCCTCTAAGGCCTTACCTAACTCGGCCTCCACCATGGTGCTTCCGAGCGAGTGGAAGCACCACTCTCGCTCCCCCCCCCATCCTCTCCGCACAACTGCCACCCACTCCCAGGGCTGTAGTATCCAATAGGCCATGGTAGGCACTGAGCCCATGGTCTACTCACTCACCCACTCACCACGCCACCCACTCACTCATTCACCAACTCACCCGCCCACTCACTAATTCACCAACTCACCCATCCACTCACCCACTCACTCACCCACTCAACCAGCCAGCCACTCATTCATTCACTCACCCACCCACTCACTCATTCACCCACTCACCCATTCACTCACCCACTCACTCACCCAGCCAGCCACTAACTCACCCACTCACTCACCCAGTCACGCACTCATTTATTCGCCCACCCACTCATTTATTCGCCCACCCACTCACCCATCGACCCAATCACTCACCCAGTCACCCAGCCAGCCACTCACCCACCCATCCACCCACTCACCCACCACTCACTCATTCATTCACCCACTCACTCACCCAGCCAGCCACTAACTCACCCACTCACCCACTCACCCAGCCACGCACTCATTTATTCACCCACCCACTCACCCATCGACCCAATCACTCACCCAGTCACCCAGCCAGCCACTCACCCACCCACCCACCCACTCACCCACCCACCCACTCACCCACCCACCCACCCACTCACCCACCCACCCACTCACCCACCCACTCACCCACCCACCAGGCCTGTAGTATCCAATAGGCCGCAGTGGGCCCTGTGGCCTAGGGCCTACGACAACTAAAAGGACCATGTGTTTTTTTTGTTTGTATGATAAAAAATGTACTCAAGATATCCTCTTTTATAAATATATATTTTAAAAATATACATTTGAGTAAGGCATAGGCACAGTGTGGATACAAAGAGGCAGAGTCATCTCAATGTCAATTGGTTTTCTTCATAAGGTGAGAGAGAAAATAACACCGGAGAAGACCTTTCCGAGATTTTTGTCATTGCGAGATTAGCAAAATAAACATCTTCAAATGGAGTTTGCGGCACAATCTCATTCTCAATAGCGCTGCAGTGCGAGGGAAGACAACGGCGGCGTTGTTGTCCTACCGCTTGATCAGAGACAGTTTACAAAAATAATAAATCAGCTTTAGAAAGTGACAGCGGCGTCTGTAGTGACATGGGGCAGCAGCAGCAGCACCAACTGTAGACTGTGATCACTGAAGGCCTACGAAGTGCCCAGGGCCTACAAGAACCTGCATCTGGCACCCCTCTCCCCTCTATCTCTCCCATGTTCTGAACCGGTGATGGTGGCCGTGAAGGAGTCGGTGATGGTGGCCGTGAAGGAGTCGGTGATGGTTGCCGTGGAGGAGTCGGTGTTGGCAGCCGTGGAGGAGCCGGTGATGGCAGCCGCGCCACTGATGAAGGAATAATTGAGGGGCTTGCACTTGTGTGTGAGCGGCGCTCGTTAGTCCACGGGTAAACCCGGCGTGTGTGTTCGTGCTGCCGCTAGCGAGCTCCACGCGCTGATTAATGTTGACGCGGGGTACCCCGGCGGTGGGGAGAAATTTGATCGCCCACCCCCCGCCCCCCCCCCCAATCTCGCCGGAGAATCTCAGCCCCACCGTCTTTTTAATCTCCATCGGATTCGGGGGAACTCGCCAGCCCCGTCTCCCGCTTTTAATTAAACCTAGGTTCATATACAATACATATTAAATACATCTACAAAGCACTTTGCTGGGTGGTTTCTTTGTGGTCTATTTTTTTTATTTTGTCTTTAATTTCTTTTCTCTCCCCCTGCCCATGAATCGAATTTGTTTTAGATGAAAGGCGTTTTTAACGTTCTTCACATGCCTCCGCAATATTGGAGGGAGAAAAAACACGCGCGTTTCCTCTTTTCAAACGTGCACGGGGAGGGGGGGGGATCTTGGGTTCTCGTGCTCAACTCCTCGCAAGACTCTTTCCCTCTCCTCTCTCTTGGAGCAGATGAAATGCGATGCGCTCGCTGTTAAACTGTTTCGGGGTTGGGTCTTGTTTTTTCTCTTTCGAGATGAGATGATTTGTTGACAATTTTTTTTTCCTAAACGGTCAACTTCCCATCCAGGGACAGGCCACGTGAATCTCACTGCCAATTAATTTGTTTCGAGTAAAAATATTTTACTTACATTTTTTTAATGAAAAAAACCCCGAAAGAATACATCAAAAACCCGAAACAAATATAAAAAAAATATTTTAATAAATATACTTTTTTTAAAACCGGCAAGTCAAAGTTAGTTCCTGATTCAAATTAGCCCATCGAGGCATTGATGCTCACCTCCTACATACAGCTCAAGGCCAGCGGCGGGCATTTCCACATTGCTATGGCAGGGGACAAAGATGCCCATGTCGCTCGAGGGGGGGGGCGAGCATAGCCTCAGGTCGATTCCAGGAGTGGTCCAAAAAGCACGACGCAGCACGGGACTCGTCCCGTACGACCGCGGAGGGAGCCGACCGCGGAGGGAGCCGACCGCGATCCCAACGCCGCCGCCCGCTGTGACCGACTTCACCCCGACGCGCCGGCCAGGGCGGCGGCGATCTTGTGGGTGCAACAGGACGGCTCCCCGCCAACGCGTTGGTGGGGCGGGCCCCTCGATTTCCAGCGGTCGCATTTGGCAGCGGGGAAAAGAAAAGAAGAAAACGGGTGCCCCGCTCGTTTGTGCGCGTCAACGCTGCTCGCCGGGCGTTTGGGAGGGCCCCACCGAATTTTTGTCAGCGGCTCGGATCGGCGCCGCCAAGCCCCCGCGGCTCGCACACAAAGGTCCCCCGTGTGGCCTGCACCGGCTGTTGGGGCAAGTGACTGTCGGCGAGCGGCGGCGCCCGCAAAAGGCGGCACACGTAGCGGTGGGGTGGCCGGCGCCGCGCCGGGCCTCCTTCGTCTACCCGGCAGGCGATGATTCTACACACCGCACGAGTTGCTCATTTAAGGCCGAGCCGACCCTAGGGGACGACCGGGTTCGGATAATCGGCACCGACGCCGGGGTTCGTAGCGCGGCGCGCTAACCGCTACAACTACCGCTCCCTACACACACACCACGCGCACGCACACTGGACAGCTCCACACACACACACACGACACACACGACACACACGACACACATTCCATATCTCTCGTTGGACCACCGTTTTGCATTTGGCCAGGTGCTGGCCATTTGCCTGGCTCCGGAATGCGAGCCGAAGACGGCAAACAAGATGATGTCTGATGCGCGCATCTCGGTCCCGCAGCGAGATTTAAAGGGGCGGGGGGAGGGGGTGAGGGGGGGGGGGTTGGGGTGGGAACCCTCGACTCGGCATCGCACAGACGACACCGATTGACGCGACGACTCAGAGTGGACGTTGTTGCTGATTTCAACGCCATTCCGGCGCCTCGCTCCCAAACTGGCTTTAACGAGGCCCAAATGAAGTCACCTCCCGGGCAATGAAAGATTCCTCCGCACGCGAGGTCGCCAATGGATTTCGGGGTTCAGAGGTCAGGGGCGACGTCGTTGCCGGCGCCGCCGAGTGCCCCCCGGGTTTGAAATCCACATCTGAGAATAAAAAAAAAAATATCAGTCTAACATGTAGTAGGAGGAGGAGGCTTCCGCGACAAATATTATCCATAATCGAGGTTTTGAGGGTTAGATCGCGTAAACATATAAATGTCACGTGAACAAAAGAGTTTGAACGAGTAAGGAATCGTCACGTTTCGTTCGCGTGACAAACGTGACCAATTGGCGGGTTTAACGACGCATTGAGATATTTACGCGATCTAACCCAAAAAACAACCTCTAGTTATGGATTTAAAAAAACAAAACATCAGTTTCACTATGAAGTGACAAACATTGCCTCGTGTACGCAGAGCGGGCGGGAAAGCGAGTGTGGTCCACAGAGGTCGCTTGACAAATAAGGGATCTCAGAATTATCTCTTGTGATGTTCGCTTCAGCGGGGGGGGGGGGGGGGGGGGGGGGTCGCACCGCTTGGCGGCGAGATATCCCAACGGGTCCTTCGTCTCGTGCCGACACTGTGACGCCGACTTCGCGGGTGGTCGGGGTGGGGGGCGGGGTGGGGGCGGTGGGCGGCGGGGGGGGGGGGGTGCAGAACGGCGGTGATCCCCGTCCGGGAGACACACGGGGCGCGCCCGTCTTCGGCGGGAGCGCGAGGGAAATATACGCCCCGCTTATCCGTCTTCGCCGCGGCGGTGGGCCCGAGCGGAGAGAGACAGGCACGGCGGTGGCGGAGGAGTGACGATAACGAGCAATTTTCAGCCGCGATTAATCATACAGTAAAACCGTGGATTGCGAGGAACTTGGTCTGCGAGTGTTTTGCAAGACGAGCAAATATTTTGATGAATATTAATTTGATTAACGAGCGAGGTCTTGCAATACGAGTAGTGGACATACGCTTTGTCTGCGGAGCGTCACGTGATCACGACTGATATACGAGTGCTTTGATATACGAGTGCTTTGGATTACAAACACGTTTCCGGAACGAATTATGCTCGCAATCCAAGGTTTTACTGTATTGCGAAGAGTGCTGCCGTGTGGCCTCGCCCGCCGGGGGAGCGCAACCGCCGGTAGTGCGCCCGCCGAGACGGCCACAGTTGTAGCTACGGCGTGCGCGCACGTCGTGAGAATTTTATTGTTTTATTTTATTATTTTATTCTCATTCTACGTGACTTTACTGAAAGAACCAACGAAGACGGGGGAGTGGCTTTACAAGTTGTTTACTCTCCTGCAGATGTAGATGCCACTGGTTCTTCACGTTCTGCAGATGTAGATGCCACTGGTTCTTCACGTTCTGTAGATGTAGATGCCACTGGTTCTTCACGTTCTGTAGATGTAGATGCCACTGGTTCTTCATGTTCTGCAGATGTAGATGCACTGGTTCTTCACGTTCTGCAGATGTAGATGCCACTGGTTCTTGATGTTCTGCAGATGTAGATGCCACTGGTTCTTCGCGTTCTGCACATGTAGATGCCCCTGGTTCTTGATGTTCTGCAGATGTAGATGCCAGTGGTTCTTCACGTTCTGCACATGTAGATGCCACTGGTTCTTCACGTTCTGCAGATGTAGATGCCCCTGGTTCTTCACGTTCTACAGATGTAGATGCCGCTGGTTCTTCATGTTCTGTAGGTGTAGATGCCACTGGTTCTTCACGTTCTGCAGATGTAGATTCCACTGGTTCTTCACGTTCTGCAGATGTAGATGCCGCTGGTTCTTCATGTTCTGCAGATGTAGATGCCGCTGGTTCTTAATGTTCTGTAGGTGTAGATGCCACTGGTTCTTCACGTTCTGCAGATGTAGATGCCACTGGTTCTTCATGTTCTGCAGATGTAGATGCCCCTGGTTCTTCACGTTCTGCAGATGTAGATGCCACTAGTTCTTCACGTTCTGCAGATGTAGATGCCCCTGGTTCTTCACGTTCTGCAGATGTAGATGACACCACCGCCGTCGATTTCGCGGCGGCTGAACTTACAACTCTCAGTCCGAATAGGCAACTGGACGTAAGGACAGGTTTGTTCGTATCTCTGAAAGTCTCTAAGTTGAATGTTCATAAGTAGAGAAGTCCCTGTATATATTCATAGAGAGAGGTGAAGAGCTTGGGTAATTATTGGAGCCACCTCACTGCGTTGGTTGCTGCCTTCCATGCAACTCGCATGAATGACGCTGTAAAAAACGAAACATGGTTATTATTATTATTCTAAGTGAGCTGGAAGCAAACTCGTTTCTGTACTATTCCCCCTACAATAATGTTCTTATATCTATGGGACCTTTTTGCCAGTATCAAAGTATGAAAAACAAGAATAGGTGGTTGCCTTTCTGGAAATAAAACAGGTGTGTTAAGATGTTTAGATAAATGTCATTACTTCTGCGTGACAAAAATAAGAATAGGGTGTTACCCTTTTTGGCAACAAAACAGGAGTTGTGTTGTTCAAACACCAAATAGAAACCAAGGAATCAAGTTGCTGCATTAACCGCACACGGGACTGATAGATATACACGCTGTCTTGGAAACCCATTGGCCTACAATAATTGTCTGACCATTACAGTGGTTTGTCTCCATCCTCTGCATGGCCCACGAACCCTTGCCTCCCAAGCCGCCGGATGACACGCACGCACCACGGACGTCCGGCCTTCTCCCGTCCCCCGACCTGTAGCTGATCGAGCGGCGAAGGTCAAAGATCGCTCGCACGGCCGCGCAGACCACTGGAGGAGAGAGGGCTCTCGGCGAGCGCCTATTAAGGCGGGAGCGGCGCACCGGGAGGGCGGTTGTGGCCAGGACCACGGCCAGCCGCTTGATTTTTTTTTTTTAATTAACACTCCGCACCGTGTACTCGTTTGAAGCCGAGTCGACCTCGGGAATGCTCAGGATGAGTTGGCGGGCACCGCTCGTTATCGCCGGCAGCCGCCGAATGAGATGGTCGCCGTGAAAGATGTGGCGCAGGCGAGACGCGCGGTACCGAGTCAGGCACGGGATGAATGAGAAACGGGGCTGGCGACGGCAGCGATGGGACCGATTAGCGTGGCGGGAAAAAATTCTTTTTGACGTAGACCAAAAAGGTGTACGCAGCTAGTTATCAATACTTGCCGCGTCGATTCGAAGTAATGAAGCGGACGCCGAGACTGAGAGACTGACTCACCCACGCCCTCACTGCCACCACCACGACTGCCACCACCGCCACCACTATCACCACTATCACTACCGCCACCATCACCACCACTGCCACCATCACCGCTCCCACCACCACGACCGCCATCACCACTATCACCTCTGCCACCACTACCACCACCGTTATCACTACCACCATCACCACTATCGCCAACCACCACTATCAGCGCCATCACCACCGCCATCACCATCACTGCCACCAATACCACCACCGCCATCGCCACCGCTACCACTACCTCCACTGTCACCACTGCCACCACCGCCATAACCACCATCATCACCGCCACCACTGCCACCACCGGCATCACCATCACCGCCACCACCACCACCACCACCGCCCCCACCACCATCCCTACCACCACCACTATCACCAACCACCACTATCACCACTATTACCACTGCCATCACCATCACGCCACCACTACCACCACTGCCATCACCACTGCCACAACCGCTGGGGTGGATGGGGGGGGGTGAGGGCAGCGTCGCGGCCGAAGGAGTTAAGCACAAGCGGGCCGGGCGGCGCATCAATCCGCGTCACAACACGCGGCCTAACGACGCGTTCTCGAACCTAATTAACATAACGACAACATCACTCCATCAGGGGAGGGGGGGGGGGGTGTGTGGTATGGGTGGGGCGCTCGTCAATTGCCGCCCTTCTTTCGCGCCTTCCCGGGGCTTCTGCCGTTAAACTTGGCAGCGTCGCGCGCGGTGAGGGGAGGGCCGGAGAGTCGTGGTCCTCGCGCTCTGCGCGCGTCCGAGAACCCCCTCAGGCGGAGGGCGAATCCGCTCAAGCCGGCGGGTGGAAATTCCACGTTCCCACGCGCGATCTCTGCCCCACAACGAGCCGCTCGCCCCACCGCCGGGCCGCGTGGCTGGATAATTTACACCACATGTATGTGTTTAGATGTGCGAGCTACATTCTGGGGCATCGGTGTGCGCTGTGAAAAATGTTCATGATCTGGTCATGGAACAAAGACTCTCTCTCTCCGTCACCATAACCCTCACCTCAGCCACCCTCACACTGCCCTCCATCCCTCCCTCCCTCCCCTCCCTTCCCCTCCCCACAGCCACACCGCCCTATCTTACATTACGACCGCACATTACGCACGCCCTGAATAAAACACACACACGCGGACCGCGCGGAGATTACAATACGCTCGTGAAATATTTAGCAAAAGCCTTCTCTGTCAGCTCAATTACGGCGAGCAAAATTGACCACATTTTTCCCGCGCAACTATATATATAAAAAAAACCCAAAAAGATATTACGTATATTCGGATATATTTACGTGCACGCGCACGTACGGCGAAGCGCCTCTTAATATCTCCCTCCACACCGTCGCCGCGCTGTCGCCAACGCGTTGCGCTTCTCAGCCGCGAAGCTCCGCAAACGACAAAGACACCCCCCCGACCGCCGCCCTAGCCTCCGCCGGACCGCCGGGGCGAGTCGTCGCGAGCGAGAAACGCCCACGGAACGCCGCGGCAACGCGTTGGCGTGGACAGGCACCGCGCACCGGGCGCACTCGATCGAGTCGACCAAAGGGGGGCGGGGGGGGGGGTGGCCCTAGAAGCGCCTTGACATACCAAGACGCCGTCACCGGCACGCGAGTGGGAAACTCCGCTTGCCGCGCTGGCAGCGCGGTGCGGCCAACCGCTACACGCGCACCACTACACACACACACGCTCACACACACACACGCGCACACACACACGCACGCACCGCTACACACACACACACGCGCACACACACACACGCACAAACGCACGCGCACACACACACACAAACGCACGCGCACACACACACACACACACGCACCGCTACACACACACGCGCACACACACATGCACGCACCGCTACACACACACACGCACACAC